TCCTTCTCTGTACTTCTATACTACTGCATCAGTCTATCTGTCTACTTTGAAAGGTGGGACACGATACATAATTATTTAGAGCAATATGAGCTGCATTTTTGAGAGTTTTATTTTGCTGTTAAAATGTGTTGGTATTATTATAAAATTGTATGTAATGTAAACCTTTCTTGATCAATGAGACAGAAATAAAGTATCAAATTGTGTCAGAATAAAGGATTCTGTACAATCAAATACATAGTATTATATAAGACATCAATATTGTACAGGACTACAATAATGTAATTTTGCATCAATCGAAGCTTTTGAATAGTTCTTCCATCGCAAATATGAACAACAGGGGCTTTTCGTTTTACAAGAGAAATTACGACTACGGCAAAATTTTAATTCTGCCAGTAACTTTTTAATTTACATCAAATAGAAATGGTTTTAATCTTTTTAAAAGGTATGTAGAAAGATACTTTTACTCTAGCAGTTTTAAACAGAATCATTAATTTTGCAATGTTTTACAATAATAATAATAATAATGTTTTACAATCAAATCAAGTTTTTGGTCTTAGTCGTAGGTTCTTTTGTAAAACGGGCTCCTGTACAATATTGTTCCTTTTTCTATCCTTGAAGTAGTTAATTGCAATTTTGCAAATTTCTGACATCAAAGTTGCAGCTCATATTGCTTAAATGGGTGTGTTAACTTCAATGAAATTTTAAAAAGTATGTTCTTATAGCCTGGTATTTGATCTTTAGAATGCGTATTGATCACATTGTACATATAACAGATCTTTTACTGGCAAGTAACACTGAAGCAGTGAACCCGCTAAGTTTTCACATGTTATTTTTCTGTTTACCCAAAAGTGGACTATTCCGATTAGGTACACATCAATGAATAGACTGGAACGTTTCGCAAGAAAATGTGTCTCACGATCTATAATCCCTGAAAGTTTGGCATTTATGTCTCTTGTCATTCTTGAGATTATCCGCAGACAAAACGTCATTTTGAAATCAGAAATTGGTCTGTAACTCATCACCAGAAGTGGATTTTTAAATTTTTCTCTCACACAGATCAAGTTCATATTACAACACATTATTCCTGAAAATTTCATGTAAATCCATCCAAAAGTGTTTGAGAAATTGCTTGCACAAAATTAGAAAGTCAATAATGAAGAGGGAGAAATTTATAATAATAATAATAATAATAATAATAATAACTAGAAACTCATTATTAGTAATCAGAAGGTCTTCCGTTATACTACTTCCTGTTTCGCCCGCGTGGCGCAGTGTTTATGGCAGCTTTTCGGCCGGCACTTCTAGGGAAAATAGTTTGCATGGGCATGTCATTTGGTATTAGCCTAAAACCTATGTCGACTTTGCTTCCGAGATCATTCGGCAAACCTCGGCTGATTCCATCCCCTTTGTGATATGTAGATGAGGTCGGCCGAGGTGTTGCCGAGTGCTGACGAGATTAAAAAGACAGTGCAAAACAAAAGGAAAAAGATAAACACAAGCTGTAAAGCTTGCATGCAATAAAGATCAATTCTGCTAACAATGAAAATATGGAATTTTTTTGGTAATTGCTTTAAAAAAACCCAGCATGTTATTTCGAATTAATCACTGCCAATTTCCACTGTTCGTTTTGTAATATTTTTTTACGATTGAAAATCTTGAAAAATTGTTAAGTCGAACGAAAATTAGATTATCAGAAAATTATCTCCCTTGCCTTGAACAACATTTCAACCAATGAAATAATTGATTTTTTTTCATCAAGCAATTTCTACCAATCAAAGAGAGGAAGTGCACAGTCCGAAGACTGTAAAATGCTTCAACTCTGTATACGGACTTCCATAAGTCGGTAATGTTTTAGTCATTTACTGTTGCTGAAAATTTGTGAGCAGAAATTCTTATTTTGAGGACAGGAAAACACGCGACCAGAAGTGAATTGTTTAAAAATCTCTTTCGTTTCTCTAGATATTTGTATTATCTACAACTACAAAAAACATTTCAAATACTTTATCTATAAGCGATATTAATGAGAAAGTTAAACATCAAAATAACGACGTTTCTGTTTCCGGTGGAACCTAACATATTATAAAACAGCGAAAGAGATGCAATAAAGTGATGCAAACTTTGGTTTAAAAAAGAAGAGTTAATTTTTTTTTATCTATCTGTGACATTCGGAAGTGACCGTTGACTCGTTTAACTCTATTGGATTCGACTACTCCTCTAGGTCTATTACTCTTATCAGTTTAATGTCTTTATCTCTTTCCGTTTCTGATATTTCTCTCAGACCTCTCATTTTGAGGACATGAAAACACGAGACCGGAAGTGAGAATTTTACAAAGATATTTGATGTTACTCTAGACATTCTGAATAACATTTTTAAAAATCATTTCAAATATTTTATCTATAAAAGATATTTATGGGAAAGAAAAACACTCAAATTATGTAGTTTTTCTCTTATAACCGGAAGTTATCGTTTTTGTTTCCGATGGGACAAACATATTTCGGAATTGCAAAAGAAATATAGTAATGTGATGCAAGTTTTGATTTTTTTAAAAAAAGTTGAAATTTTTGATTTGTTTGATCACTTCCTGTGACGACCGGAAGTGAAGTTTGACCCTCTTCACCCAATTGGTTTCGCCTACTCCTCAGGGCCTATTAATCACATAAGTTTGGTGTCTTATTCTTTTACTGTTTCTGACATCTCACTCAGACAATATATATTGAAAGAAAAACGGAAATCGGACATATCAGACCAAAAGAAGTGAATTTTGAAAAAAATAAGTTTGGGGGTATTTTCATTTTCTTTCATCCCTGGAAAATTCAAGAAAATCCATCCAACCATCTTTGAGTAATCGTGCCGAACACAGCATTGTTAAGGCTGTAAAATGGGGGCGGGCCTAATTTTTATAGGAAATGTTAACTGTGACATCACACAAAAATAACTATTCCTCATAATATCAGAATATGAAATAATTTGCAATTTTAAACTGTACTAACGAAATATATGGAGATAACGAACAGTATTCAAGCTCAAAATTCCATTAAACAATACAAAATAGGAGCAGAGCAAACACGGACCTCTAAACATCAGAGGTGGGATCAGTTGCCATGGAGGAGTGAGCATCCTCTGCCGACCGGTCACACCCGCCGTGTGCTCCTTGTCATGATCGGGAAATAACGGGAAAATCCGTCGACAATTCAGTGTGTAAATAATGGTCTAACAATTATAATGAAAAACGTCAGTCAGCAATTGACTAAATGATAAATTGTATTTGCTGACAGGGTCATTGTATCGACCATAGAACTTACGAAATGATGATTTAAACGAGACAGCTGATATTCTTGTTTCATCAACTTGTTTGTCAATAATTAGAAATTGTACATCATAGAGCATGCTCTTGCGTATCGAATCAACTGAGAGATATATACCCCATATGCAGGTGTTGAAGGTATATTGCTGCATAAGTAAGGGAAGCTGACGATTGAAAAGTTAAAGTCATCACGTTTATCATAAAGCTTGGTTGTTAGATTACCATTAACGTCTTTTTCAAGTAAAATATCCAAATATGAAACAGAGGTGTCAGACTAACGTAATAGATAACATCAAAACTTACCAAAGCATAAATATTTTTGCTAGTTAAATCCCACAAAGCAGGTTGTAAACAAATCACTGATCGCAATGAACTTGTAGACATGAAGTAATTTTGGTAAAACTGACGTATTTCATGTGCTCTGAGAGGCAAATCAAATATTTTTTTTTTATAATGAAAAATGCATTTGATTATTGTTTTTGCTTGTATGTTGCTTAACGTCCCTCTCGAGAATTTTTCACTCATATGGAGACGCCACCATTTGCTGGTGGAGAGCTGCAAATTTTGTCCTATACTCGACACTTAGGGCCATTGAGCAGTGAGGGATTTTTTTCGTGCCAGCACCTACTGCGACACGGGACCTCGGTTTATACCGTCTCATCCGAAGGACCGGTCTCCACGTCCCACAGTGGGATTCGAACCCGCGACTTAAGGATCAACTCCTTACGCGACTCTAGAACAGACGCTCTAACCACTGCGCCACGAGGGCGACCATTTGATTATTAAACAGAATATTATTTACAGATTTTAAATAGGTTATTTATACCAATGTAAAACCTTCGTTTATTAAATTAATTTTTGTTTTTGTGTACAGATTTGGCATATATTTAACATCAAGGTGCCTAATTAATTGGCCTTTTCGCAAAGACATGCACTTCATAGATCTTAACCCCCTTTTTCTATATATATAAATAAAGGATATTTTCCTTAACTTGAAAAGCGTTGCTGCTTTCTCGAACTCGGGAACATTATTTGATAAATGCATAAAATACTTTGTAAAGGTCAAACATATTTCAACTTGCGCTTCATTAAATGAATTTTATCCTAATAAAATGCGAATTCTATTTAAAGCAGCAACACTTTTCAGAAAATATAAGGTATATAGAAATAAGTTTTAACTTAATTTGTTTTTTTTTGTTTTTTTTTTTTTTTTGAATAGGGTATGCCCTTGCGATATTGAAATTTGTGTATGACCTCCATGTAGAACACATTTTATGCACATACCGCGTGACTCTCAAATAAGGTGACCAAACTAGATTCAATACAGAGTCGGATATACAATGTAATTTCTATAAATATTAGTCATCTATAATATAATAGCTTTACAAAAATAAATTCAGCATAACAAGGTATATATTTGTGCACGTCTATTTTCCGTTGATTTCTTCATAGTATGATTTAACAGTGGTGCACAGGAAAGGGGGAAGCTAATAATGATAAACATTACAAACTCTATAAGGTCTTCCGTCTGAAAGGAAAGATCTTAAAAAGAATCTACGTTAGTACAATGTGTTCCCCCAACTTCGGTAAGGGTACATAATAAGGTCCTAAAATGTATTTACCCACTGAGCATACACTGTAGTCTGAATATCACATAATCAATGTGGTGATTGTTTTTTTTATTTTGTATATATAAGTCATAGAAACTGTCAATTACTTTGAAGTATTTACATGTATTTGATTTTCTTCACTTTATGACTGTGAAACTCAGCCACAAAGAGGTTGTCTTTGGTGTCTACACTTAAACCCCATGGAAGGTGTAGATCACAATTACGAATGTAAGAGAGTAACTGTCCGTGTTGATCTAGGATGTGAATAGAGTTGTTTTTACGGTCTGATATCAGGATCTGACTCTGGCTGTCTGTTGTGATTCCGATTAAATCAAGTGGTCTGGCGGTAGAAGAGCTATATCCAGTGTATCTAAATCGGAATTTTCCGGCCTGGTTTACCACCACTACTGCTTTGGCATTACAGTCAGCCACACAGATATCAAGGTTCCTGTTCTCAATGATGTCTTTCGTATAACCATATGAGTACAAAGATTTACCTTCACTGTCAAACTGAATGGTTTGTTTCTCTGTAGAGCCAGAGTAACGGACAACTCTTGAGTGTTCACCATTAGCACTGTCCATGGTTACAAGGAGGTCACCCGTAGTGGTTCCACAAATATTATGAGGTTTCCATCCCTGTAGTCTAATAACTTCCTGAATCTGTTCATTCTTCACTATGTTTACAGTACTTGTATATATGTCAATATAAACTAGATCTCCACTTCTTGTCACTGCTGTGTCACGTGGATTGTTCCCTGACTTGGTTATGATTGACCTTAGTACTTCACCCCGGAGGTTGTAGAGTTTCATGATATTTTCTTCTCCATGTGTCCAGATTTCTTCGTCACTGAGACAGGTAACATTGTATAGGTAATTATACTTTGTTTGTATGCTGGTGATAAACTCGGCTGCATCAAGTAGTGATTTGGCTGGAGGACAGGATACAGCTTCTGGGGTCTTTATTGTGTTGCTATGTGCTTCTTTTGTAATGGTAATTGCTGACAAAGAACCAAACATTTGATGGAGCTGTTCTGTGTTTATTTGATGAGGAGTGAAACGTGGTAAGGAAACATTGACTTTAGGAGGTAAACCTCTGAATTCAGCATTCCTGGATCTATACACAGAAGTTAAGGAGACATCATTGGAGTATAGTATTTTCTTCAGGTCATTGATACTCTGTTTTACATCAGACGTAATCTGTTTAATTTCTTTTTCATGTTCATTTTCAGCAACCGAGTGTTTATTTTTCATCTCATCGATTTCAGATTTCTGTTTGTTAACAATGATGCTAATTTCTCTGTGCAAGTTTTTTTCTTGTTTGGTGACAGCTGTTGTCAGATTCTTATAATGGTTTTCAAAGTTTACTTTTTCTGAGTTTAAATCTAATGTAATTTCTTCATATGCAGGATATATTCGTTTCTCTAGTTCTTCCAAGTCTTTTTCTAATTCTTTTTTCTTGGAACGTACTTTTTTCAGAACATCTGTAAATGTATGCCCTTTATGTTTATCAGAGGAGATGCAGGTAGAACAGACAGGAACGTCACATATCTCACAATAAAATTCACAATGTGTATTGGTGTGGTCAGGACATTTTGGGTAGTAAGGAGCAGAAGATCTATATTTGTACGGTACAACATTGTGTCTTTGGGAAGAATCAGAGAGATGTTCCCCTACACAGGCCTTACACAGGTTTACCTGACAAAATTCACAATGACTCTGTAATGAATCGCTTTGACACAGGTCACATTGGAGTAGTACTTGAGCTCTTTTCAGGGGTTCCATAATAGTCTTCTTCTCATGTGACCAAATCTAAGAATTAAAGTTGTTTTTGAATAACAAAAGGTGTTTCCACTATCCATAAATTTTATATATATATATATATATATATATATATATATATATATATATATATATATATATATATATATATATATATATATATATATATATATATATATATAAACATTTGCTGTGTTTTTCTGCTAAGCCAACTGTGAAATTGAAATTGAAAGTCATTTTTCTGTATACACTGTACTTACGCGTAGAAATATAAAAAGTGAAACTCGCGCTAAAGTGACGTCACAATGAGGCTACAGAGACGTTAATAAAAATGTAACGATATAGGGCAGCAAATAATTCAAACAATGAATGTATTTTTGGTGCTTTTGAACATGAAAAATGTAAATATAAGGAATGTTTTAAGTTTTGTGTGAGTTATTGGTGTGTAAATCACACAGACTTGTCACGTAGGCATATTTCATGAAGCGCGATAGCGCTTCATGAAAAATATGCCTACGTGCAAGTCTTGGTGCTTTTGGACATGAAAAATGTAAATATAAGGAATGTTTTAAGTTTAGTGTGAATTACTGGTGTGTAACTCACACAGACTTGCACGTAGGCATATTTTTCATGAAGCGCTATCGCGCTTCATGAAATATGCCTACGTGACAAGTCTGTGTGATTAAACACACCAATAACTCACACAAAACTTAAAAACATTCCTTATATATATATATGTATATACATTTCTAAATATTTTTCCTTAAGATTCTTCGCAAATTAGAAGACTGTTCATTTTCTCATGAACTACCATGGATGAGAATGAGTATCTCCATTGTTACGTCAGAATACCGTACTTGACGTCAAAACTATAGTGCAAGCTGTTTTGCTTTAAAAATGACAGTTGAGTTGCGTAAATTGTGGAAAAAATAATGTAAATATAAGAACTGAATTTAAATTTTGAAGATTCATGAGGTACATAAACTACAACGTTTTTGAAGAAGTTTTCCCATTATATCACAAATATGATATTTCTATCCATATGCCCTGAAAAACCGCTGAATCACGCCGGATATAGTTATATTACACCGGAAACAGTTATATTGCCCTCCCGAACGCCGTTATATTCCCTCGCGTGCAGTCATTCTGCATATTGATTAAATCGGGTTCGAAATTCACAGAGGCAGTTCTAAGCAAACGTAAACAGTTCCGCGAAAATGAAAATGTCTGGACAACGTCTGCGTTTTTTTATGTTCATTTAAATTCAGAGGAACTAGATAGTTTGATTGAAGAGAAAATTCCATAAATACAACAAAATTTATAAACACAAATGTCAGCGTGCTGAAAACATTCTGCAATGAAAAAAGACGAAATATTTCGGAATTATTTATAAAGGAAGAGAAATCGGCCTTCATAACTTTCAGCCGTCCCCCGTTATCATTTTAACAACAATAGTGTTTTCTTTAGCATTATTATCGAAACTATTCGTACCCACCAATCAGCTAAATGTATTTAAAAAAATAATTTGCATATTTTTTTCTAGATATTTACACCGGTCCACATATAGTCGTCAATAAATATGTCCGATTTTGGTTTTTTTAAAAATGTTATATACCATATATTACCATGTAATATATGTATAATATATACATACATACATACATACATACATACATACATACATATATATATATATATATATTTAGTGCTTTATATAAATTTCCATCCGTGACCTTGTATCTACTTAGTAGATCCGACTCTAAGGATATACAGTGTTGTTGGTTTTTAGTGCTTTTTATATCCTTTTTTCGCCAACTGTATCTTCTCAGATCCACCCGTATATCCATTATTTCTCTATTCTAATTCTCTGTACCTATCATTCATTTTTGTTTATTTCTATCATCGTTTGATTTTCTGGTTATTTATTTATATTCCACTCTTGCAATTTAGTTCTTTCCACTCTTCTCTTCAAAATTTTATTCCTGTAGCATTTGTTTTTATTTTTTTGAATTCTTGTACGAGTTATCTCCTACGTATTAAGAAAATAGTGCAATCGTTCGTTGAATCTTCGACTTCACACGGCTACAGTTTAAAAATTAGTCATATTCTTTAGGCAATTACCTGTTTATTTCCTTTTAAACATGTCTATAAAAAGTAATCCAACATTCAAACTTCTGAAGAAACAACACCAAAAATCAATCAAAACTGAACACCGGGTCTCGAATTTACAGACCTACTTAGACTGTGACATTATACCTAAAGGTTTCCAGATTAATGTCACGCCTAACATAGGGCCGATCTCCAAACGCTTTCAAGAACGTTGGGAAGATATTACAAAGAGGTGTTCTAAACAATTGATGTCACTCTGTCTTTCTTGGGATATCCACAAGTTAGGACAATTTGAGAGTGATATCACTTCCTTAGAATCATCCCTCACTGACAGCATGTCCCAAGCTGATCTTGATGAAGCCCATAATATTATTGACACCTATAATATGGCCCTAACAAATGAACTCAACAAGACTCAAAGAAAGAAATTTCTCCGAGACAGTGTTCCACAGACCAAGAACAACCGATCAGAGGTCCTAGTTAACAAAACACGTAAGCCCCGCTCGAGACGCTTCAAGCGCTTAACGACAATCGCGAGGGACGGACCTTCACAAACTCCTGACGTCTGCCCAGTGCTCAATAGATCTAGTGTTCCTCTCTCCGAATCGGAGACCTCACTTCTTTCCAAGGGGCTGAATTTCTGTCCCACGCCACATGAGGTCGACGAAAAACAAGTCAGAGAGGACACCCGAGCTTTCTTTCGGAGACTTCGGTTGAAGGAGCATTTTTCTAGAAAAAAACTCCGAAGTTGACTCATATGACTCTTCTCAGCCACAATTGCACGACCTAGAGGAACACAAACTCTATCGGCCAAAAAGTGACTGGGAACCGACACCGGGCAAATGCGGAGCCCTTGAGTCGTATATTGACGCCGTTGAGTCAGACATAGAGAAACTCCTTTCAATGCCAGACAAGGCTCCCGACAATTTGAGTAAGGAAGAGAGATCCGCCTTACAATCATTAAAGAATCGGGATGACATTGTAATCAAGAAAGCAGACAAAGGCTCTACAGTAGTAGTGCTTGATAAAGAGACGTACATGGCGGAGGCCCACAGACAACTCTCAGACGAACGTTTCTATAAGAAACTGGACTCTGACCCTACTAAAGAATTCTCGACCGCAATCACCAAAACTCTTGACGAAATGTTTGAGAAAAACGAGATTGGTATCAACGTCTATGAGACACTCAATCCTATTGACTGTAGACCAGGACAATTTTATCTGCTTCCTAAGATACACAAAGAAGGTATGCCAGGTCGCCCTATAGTTAGCGCTATTGGACACCCCACGGAGAAAATTTCTGAATACATCGATTTACATCTCCGTCCACACGTAGAGAATTTGCCATCCTATCTCAAGGACACCACGGACTACATTAACAAGACGCCCTCTACTGGCCTTCCAGATCATACCCTTCTCGTGACTATGGACGTCACATCTTTGTACACCAATATTCCGCACGATGAGGGTATCGAAGCCTGTAGAGAAGTCTGGGATAGTAGATCCATACAAATTCCTTCTACCGAGTCCCTTGCCAAGCTCCTTGAACATGTTCTCAAGGATAACAACTTCATGTTTAATGGAGAACATTACCTGCAGGTTAATGGCACTGCTATGGGTACGAAAATGGCACCATCTTATGCCAATATTTTCATGGGCAGACTGGAACGCAACTTGCTACTTCAAGCACCATTTAGGCCCCTTAGCTGGTTGCGTTTCATTGACGATATAGAGATGAAGTGGGTGGAATGTCGCGAGAGCCTCGAGGCATTCATTTCGTTTGCCAACACCTTTCATCAGTCTATCAAATTTACAGTAGACGTATCTAATTCGAAAAACATATTCCTAGATACTACATCTACCCTGACTGATGGTGAAATCGAGTTCAGTCTCCACACGAAACCCACAGATTCCCATCTGTATCTTATGCCAACTAGCTGTCATCCCCCACACACATTTAAGGGTGTGCCTAAGGGTTTAGCCACCAGAATTCGGCGCATCTGTTCATCCCCTGCCTTATATCAAGAACAAAGCGGTCTCCTTAAGTCCCACTTATGCAAGAGAGGCTACAATGCCCGCACCGTACAAACTGCTATTGATGAGATGGCGGAACATGACAGGCAAAACCTATTACGCTACAAGGAAAAAGACAATAGCGGCAGGGTCCCTCTGGTAACCACATACCATCCCGTCCTTAAGAACCTCAGCGGTATCCTTCAAAAGAATCTGCCAATTCTCCACTCAAATAAACGAATGGCAGAGGTCTTTAAGGAGCCCCCATTGGCTGCATACAGACGCCCGAGGAACCTGAAGGACATGGTAGTAAGAACCAGATTGGACAATCCATTACCTAACGGGGGCTTTAAAACTTGCTCTGACAGAAGATGTCTTCTCTGTAAGTACAGCTCTGACACAGACAGTTTTAACAGCCCCGTTACAGGCCGCAGCTACAAAATACTAGGGAATTTGTCCTGTCAAACGGACAACGGCATTTATCTCATCAGTTGCAAAGTTTGCTCCAAACAGTATGTTGGTGAAACAGGAGATCTCCGCAGGAGTGTCAATAATCACCGTTCTACCATTAGGACCAAAAAACTCAATGAACCCGTTGGGGAACATTTCAACCTTGAAGGTCACAAATGGGAGGACATGACAGTAGTGGTTATTGACCATAATCCAAGATGGACAGACGCGCAGAGAAAAGACAAGGAAAAGTTCTGGATGCACAGGCTGAAGTCATTCCGCCCTAATGGTATTAACAAACTTAATGACTTCACCAGGATGAACGTGAACTAGACCCAATCCCGGATTGTAACAAACAAGTTCATTCTCTCTATATAGTGTAAACTTTACCGTTAATACGTATTAGTAATCCTGGAACAACCTACCCAAAT